TGAACACCTGGTACATAATCTATCTCACTATTCCTCCCCTTCAGGCACTTCTGGCTGAAACACTGAGAATATCTAACAGGAGCCATTCAACTATGCTCTAATAACCAACCAGTGCATGGCCAAACTGGTGTTCACATTGCTAGATGGCTGAAATCACTAGTTGTCCTGGATGTATTTTCTTTCAGATAAAATATGGGACAATACATTCAATCATGTACTAAGCAACAACTTTTAAAATCAAAATATAACTTGTATATTATATGTAGGTTAACATCTCCAATTAACTTGAAATATATTTTACAAAATACCATTTTATTGATAATTTACTAATATTCAGAAAAATAATACAAAATATATTACTTTCTGTCATTCAGAAACTCGTTTTTTTTCCTCCTGAGCTGTGGAAGACCCTTGATGACTACGTCAGATAAAACTGCTCAGGGAGAAAACCCACAGTAGTGATGACACCAGTATGTCCAATTTGCAACTTACCTACAAAAAATAAATATACACTGAGTATTACATTTTTATGTAGTTTTTAATATATTTTTCATTTATTATAGGTTATATATGAGCATATGCACATTTTTTTTCTAAAATCACAGTTAAAGTCATTTGTATATAAAAAATTTTCTTAGTCACCCAACCAACAGCAACTTTGAATTCTAACTCCCTCAGAAAAGGTAATTTTTGTGAGTTTTAGGGATATTGCAGTGTAGCATGTGTACAACTCATGAACAAATAGCTATAAACATATTTTCTTCTTAAAACTTTAAATCCTTTCCCTTCACCTTGGACCTTTATTTCCTATTTCAAAAATAATCACTGAATTAAAATTTAAGACAGTTATAATGTCATTTTACTTCAAAATCTCCTTTAGTTTGCCTTTTACTATGCTAACTCAGAGGTAGTAGTTGTTGTTATTGTTATAGGTTTAAATTAAAGTATTAAGAAAAAGCTAACTGTTGCCATGTAATAGCTGTGATCCCCTTAATCCTGGCCTTAGACAACATGTAGCCGAAAGTCACCATGTAAGTGAAAGAGATTTCTGTTTGCCTGTGAACATTTACTGCAGAGATTTTCAAATATCAAAATAAAAAATCACTATTAGGACACTTGGTTTTTGCAGCTAAAGGGCCAAATACCATGTGCCATTTACTTGGTGTCACTGGTAATCTTTTTGAAAGAGTTCAAATGCTTACATATTTGAAGTCCGGTGTTTAGGAGGTCCCAGCCACACTCCCACCACACATAGCCCCTGTTCTCACATCATTCCATTTTTCTTTCCTTTTCTTTATGAGTTGCATCTTGAGAAAGAAGAAGAATCACTAAAGAGCCTTGGAGTTTGCAGTTCTGCACACCACAAATCATGGTGCAGAACCGGACAGAATGAAACTGTGGAGATTACCCAGAGTACATCATACTAACCAACTGCCATTCAGAAGAAGGCAGAGAGCCATAAAACTTCATAGAGAAGCACTTCTTGCTGAGCAGTCCTAAAAGATCTGAATAAAGGCAATCTCCTCTGAGAGGGGGTCTAGACACTGACTTGGGCTCACCAGAGTACCAAAGGCCTTCGAATTCTCTCTCTAAATAAACCTGACTAAAAGAAAACTAAAGGCTCATGCTTCTTAATTCATAACAAATACTTATAATGAGCATGTTGTTCCTTGATGCAAATAGGACTGGAAATGTTCTCCAATTTCTCTAAGCCTCAATCTTTTCAACCAGAAAAATGAGAGCAACAGTTACATACTGGATAAATTCATCATGGAAATTAAATCCTCTACATACAGTGTTTAGCATAGAGTCTTCAAAACAATAGCTACAATTATCATGCTTATGATTACTGCCATGATCACCTTGAGTTTTCAGCAAGTCAGTTATTAGAGTATACATAAGGATGAATCCAAAGGTGTGAATATAAGGAATATATATATATAAGGAATTTTTTTCTGACACCTAAAACTTTCCATATGTTCTCTACCATCTGTTAGCACCTGGAACAGCAACCAGGGAATGAATGCATGACTGACTGAATGAATGAATGAATATGTTTTAGCACTATTGCAGTTTACCTTTTTCCCATCCCATCAATTTCATGGAAGCTTGAATCTTTTATTGTGAAACACTGATCTACTCTCCATTTCTTCCCAGCCTGTACCAGAACACTATAGTACTCATGTACAGTGATAGCTTTTACAACAGTTGAAATCTTAAGTGGGCTATTTTCCCTCTACTGCCAATAAATGTGTTCCTGCTAAATCCATTTATCAGCTCTATGATGAGCACAAAGATGACTGGGAATATGAATAATAATAGTAGGCAAGCTGATCTACCTCAAATTCTATAAAATTACTAAATGCACTGTTTCTCTTCCACATAAGCGAATATGAGGTGATAGCACACTCAGCACATTAAATTTAGAAAAGCAGTTCAGTTACACAAGTGTAGCCAGCTGAGTCTGCTGTGCACTTTTCTCATACACTTCCTCTATAATCAGTCACATGTTCTGTAACAAATCACTGGAAAGACAGCTGTCTGATAATCTGATTAGATTGTGATCATTACTTTTATCCTTCTAAAAATTTAAAGAAAAAAAGAAAGCAGCATTATGTCTAAAGCAAACTGAAAAATATTCCTATACTTTTTAATTTCAAGCTCTTTTGCTTAGCATGAATTAGAAGAAAACTGAATGACATTGTAATTCAAGGACACCATATTCTGAATTCTTGCCTCTCAATGACATCTCTTCTAAAGTAATTCAAAAGAAACCAGAGTATTAATCCAATGTAACAAAGCACTTTCACATGTGCTATTAAATTCTTTTTAAAAAATCATTGCTCAAAACTAGCTCAATCTTCCATGCCCTACTAATTACTTCTGTTAAGAAACTTTTTATATTTAAGAATGCTTATTACTATCTGAATCCTATTGTGATGAAATGCATAAACAAAAATATAAGAGGAAGAAAGGGGGAGGAGTTGAAGTTTAGTCTGAGAAATGATGCTTTTTATACCTAGCAGGATAATGGAATTGAAAGCACTTAAGAGCAGAGTAGAAAGGGACAGCTGACTCCTCCTGAGATGTGAGTTTATAGTGTATTTTCCCCTTATTTTTTTGGAAGTGAACCAAACATCAGACATTCTCATATGGTTCTGACAGTATAAAAGCATATTTCTAGGCCAAAAAAAAAATCAAAGAACAAAAATTAATCCTACCATCTTAGGATTTTTTTCAGATCACTGTTCTGGTACATAAATGTCTTTTATAATAACTGCTAAATACTTACTTTTACACCACTCTAACTTTTAATTATGCCATAGGGACAAAGGCATACTGTGGCAACTATGATAATGCACCTCAGATCAAAGTGTTAGGATCATAATTAGCCGAGAGTCTTCATTGTAGCACCCTGAAATCAGGCACTATTTGTGATAGAGCCATGCTTCCCAGTCGGCTCCCAGCCAATGACTGAGCCCATTCCCACAAGACACAGGAAGCATTCCTTGGATGGCAGGATTCTGGCTGGAGGATTCCTTTCAGCCTTGCTGAGACTGTCTTAAAACTGTGCTAAGGCCTAAAGTCTTCCTTCCACACTTTTCTCTATCCCTTCTTCCTTACTGCCCATCCTCCTTCCCACTCTCTTCAGAGGGGCAGGCCTGCATCATGGTCTGAAAGTTTCCAGTCTCTTCTGGCTCCCTCATTTTTCTGCACTAATTTCTCTCAGTGTATCTCTTCATATCTAACCCTACTTTGGTACCTGCTACTCAGACAACTGTTCATTGGTTTTCATTTCAGATCAGTGCTAGTCTACCAATAGCCCCAAACTCTAATACATAAATATATTGCCTCTGTGAAACTTCTATATATTCAGTTTATTTTAAAATTCCAATGAAAGAGCAAGCTTCTCAAGTCATGATGAATACACCAATGCTGAGGCTTGATATCCAAAGGAAGTTATTTCTCTTTCCATCTTTCTTCATTTGCAGTGTGAGAGGAAATGTACGGGGTGACAGTATGTGGCAGAGAACCCTGGCTAATCACCAAACCCCTGTTCACCAGACCATGTTTCCCAGCCTGCCTTGTGGCCACGTGTGAGCATGTAACTGAGTTCCACCATTTCCAGATTCAACGCATAGAAACCTCGCTGTGTGAATCTCCATGGTGTTTTGCCTCTTGATGTATAGCAGCTCTTGAAGTACAGCAGATTTGGAAACCATGTGTTGAAGATGAAACTGTGACAACACAATAAGAGGCTGGGTCCCTGAATTACCAGTTGAATAAAAGCAGTTTGATTTGGAACTGTTAGGTGAACAAGCAAAAAACATATTGTGTGAAGCTTCTGAGTTTGAACACGATACTCCTTCCTTCAAGAAGTAGTTTATCCTCCTCTCCTTGAGTTTGCATAGTCTTGTGACTTGTTGAGAAAAATACAGTGGAAGAACATTGTACCAGCTCCAAACCTAGCCCCAAAAGTCTAGACAGCTTTGAGTACAGATTCATGGAACCCAGTGTCCAGGCTGGACACTATAAGGAAATACTGGCTGCCTTACTGGGGACAGGGACACTTGAGGGGGTCCTTGAGGATCCGATGCTGGGTGGAGAATGAGGCTACATGGAAAGACTCAAGCCCCACAGCCCATTGTCAGTTTCAATGTCCACGTCTCAGTGGGGCAGCCTTCTCTCTAGCCCAGGCTTCATGCCAGCCAAATGCAGCCTGGGAGTGGCCCCAGTGGACACCATGTGGAGAGAGGAACTGTCCAGTCAGCTCACAGAATGATGATAAATAATCAACTATGGTTGCTTTAAGTCCCCAAGTTGTTCTTGGTGGGTTATTTGGGGTATGGAGGGTAGAGTTGTCACACAATAATAGGTAACTGAAATATTGAGGTTTTAAATAAAGAGGTAGTTTAAGAGAAATTCTGAGAAGTGACAATTTTATTGTTTTTAGCTTTAAAATTGCAAAACTTAAGTAATTATATTCCTTCACCCTTTTAAATGCTATGTTCTTCTATAAAATAAATGCCAAATAAACATCTTTTCCTAGTAACAATATACCCTGATTTCTATACCAACAAAAGCAGGAAAGTAGATAACATTCTTTTCATTTCTTATAAAAGCACAAGTAATATATCTTCAATGTTAAAAGGTCAAATCACACAGAGACAATGAAAAGTGAAACTTTTGCTTTCAGGATTTCCTCCAGGCTCCAATTCTACCCCCTGCCCAGAGGAACCTGCAAAGCACAGTTGTTTGGTGTGTGTCACTCATCCAGGTTTTGTCCACCCAATTGCTGTGCGTTTGTGCACACACATAGGTTTCTACATTTACATGTGACTGGAATCACACCATATATGCTATTTTACAACCCACAGGATTCACTTTTGAAGGAACAATTGTGCTGTCACAGATGATACTGAGGCATTACTTTTTTATCATACATGTTATATCTACATTTAGAAGCTTTTCTTTTCCGGGACTAAGAATATGGCAACTTCTTCCCTCTTTTGATTTAGGCATAGCACATAACAACAAGAATTTCTAAAGTACAGACTTCCTTTCCTACAGAACGATGGCTTCTCCTCGATTCTGAGGCACGTTCATCACAAGAACACTTATTTTTCATATTTACATCTCAACTCCTTCCCAATAGTCTTGGATTGAAAAAAATGATGGTGGAGGGGCAAAGCTTTGATGTTCATGCCATCAACAATTTATTGGTAACAAGGACTATGAAGGCACTAATAAATCCTTATATATCTCAGATTTTTAATACTGTTCCAAGCTTGAAAAGGAAAATTAGATAGTGACACATAAAAATGTATGGAAACTTTTCTGCTGAACAGTCTATTTGTTTTCAGATTCTTGAGTCAACTTTTGAAATGCTAATAACCTTAAATGCCAGGTACCTGTAAAGATATAGTTTGAGTTCTTTAATTATGGAAGGAAATTCATGTGCTTCCTTGTAATGTGTAATGATAAATGCAGTGCCCTAGGACATTCTCCAGGCGTACTGTCTTAAGAAGGAAAGATGATCTTCTGTTTCAAAAGCTTAGATTCCTTCGTTTCATTAACATAATATGAAGTATGTTTTGGCATCTGATATTAACAACATATGTATTATCTTTCAAGCACCGTAGAACATTTGACTTTGTGACAGAATTAAATGGAGTTAACTGTTTTTTAGCACCAGGAAATAGTCTGATTAGACAGATCATTTTCATTTTATTTCATAACAGAAAGCTGCTTAGAACTATGTTTTTTTTTAACTGTTGCTACATTTTTCCTTGGAGTGGGTGACAATCCAAAGAAACCACAATGAGCTAGTACTATTAATAGCTGTGGCAGACAATATCTTCTATAGATGGTCCCAGTAATATCTTCCAACACCCACATTCGTTGCACTGAAACTCCTTTCACAGAAAGGTGAGATCTACATCCCTTCCCTTTGAAACTGTTGGGTTTTTCTGCCTGGCTCAAGAACTAGAGCACAGTGCAGGTGATGCTGGGTGACTTCTGAGGCTAAGGAAGGAGAGACAATTCAGATTCTGCCTTTCTGCTAGACAGTCACACTTTGAATGCTGACCCTCTGCATATGCAAGCTAATGGCTTCAAATCAACCATGCTGTGAGAAAACTCAAAATAGCCCACATGTGAAAACAAATTAAAATCCTGGAGGTCTGTAGAGAGAAATGTCCAGTCAGCTTCCAGCTATTCTAGTGCTTCATTGTTCCAGCTATGTCTTCCAGACAATCCCTTCCCAAATTCCTGACCCACAAACACTGTGAAAGAGAAAAAAATGGTGGTTGTTGTTCTGTCACTAGGTTTTAGAGTATCTTGTTGTACAGTAATAGATAATTATTAACTATTCTAATATTATTAGACTAATAACTAATATTTATTGGCCTACAATATTGAGCATATATTTTATCCAATTTATTTGTGTTCCAGGCAGGATTTAAATATAACTTGTGTATTAATTCATTAATTCATTTAAGGCTTTCAAAAACCTGTGAGATAGGTATAATTACTCTACTTCAAAGATAATGAAATTGGAGCAAAGATTGCCTTTGTAACTTCTCAAGGGCCCTATCATAGGCAGCAAAGTTGGAGTCGAACTGTGAAAGTCTAGATCCTGAGCTAACATTTTATTATTTTATTTTAGGCGTACCATCTATAATTGTGTGCATGTACATATCAAACTGTTTTCACATCAAAATGCATATTTATCAAGCACAGTTATATTACTGAATAGAATAAAAATATTCAGAAATTTGTAAAGTAACACACAAAGACTTTAGAGATATTTGCTTGAAGCTTGTTCATCCAGATTCTCAGGAAATCATGCCTCTTATAAAAAAATTTCCTAAAAATGTTTTCATTTTGTTCTGTTTTTATATCATGAAATTAATCAAGGTTCATTATAACTGTGATATGAAGAACATTTCTATATAATCAACAAGAACCAATATTGTGAACTTCTAATATGACATGATTTTAAAAATTCTTGCTGGAATTTAGGTAAGATATAGTATGGAAATACTGTGCTTTTTGAGCCACTTTTCTGTAATAAACTTTCTGGTCTGGCTTCTCCTACTACAGTCATTAAAATATTAACTGTAATAGTCAAGTGGGATCCAAAAATATCAAAGTCTAAGAACAATACCTGAAAATTATGTATCTTGAGAATTATTAATCTTGGGAAAATCACTGGAATCACTTATTTTGCATTGAAGATAATAAGGTTTAACATATAGATTATTTAAAACAAATACTAAAAAACATATAGCAGGACCCATATTTTAAGTTCATCATTACTACTGAGTTGATGATAAATTTTAACTTCTATGTTTACAAAAGTGGCCTCTGAAGTGGATATATCTGAATCCTCTTTGGTAGGCATTTGTTTCACATCAGGACCGCAGTGAAAATTTGTGAACCCCAAGACACAAATATAAATGAAAGCTTGAGTCTAAATATTTACAAAGTACAACTTCTGCTGCACTCACAGACCTACCTGCATTCCCACCCAGAGGCCCCATGGCCACATTTGGGAGGTCATCATGAGACTCAGGCTAAAGGAGTTGCATTATCCTTGGGTTCAGCCTGCTGCCTGTGAGCATAAAAGGCAACACGCATTTGCTAAAGTGTGCAGGTTGGGTATTTGCCTATCATTTACATTTGCTCACCAAACAAGGAAATTCACTGACCTTAGACAAAGTATGCTGGTTTTACACATGTGCAAATTCTTCATGTCAGAAAGTGGAATGTAATCTCCCTCCTCTTGAATAAGGTTCAGTCATAGCCTTGGTTCTAATCAAAACAATGTCATGCGTGTGACTCTGTGATTTTCAGGGCTACATTAGAAGAGACAGTGATGCAGTGTGTGTCTCCACTGACTACAGGAAGCCATAGCCTCAGACAGGCCATGTGCCGGGGTTGCAGGTGACAGCCCAGCCAAGGAGCCAACCAGTGGTCAGCATCAGCTACCAGCTGTGTGAGTAAATGAGCCTTCAGAGGACTGCAACCCCAACAATGCCAAGGTGTGCAGAGACAGTCCATTCCCACCAAGCTAACTCTACTCAAATTGCAGATTTATGAGCACAACAATGTGTCTGTTATTTTAAGCCCCTAAATTTTGGTGTGGTTGCGCAGTAATCGACAACCAGGATACAATGTTGGATACTACTTTATCTAATGCTCATGTTATAAGGTAAAATCCTCCAGATTTCTAAGTCAGAAGATCTGAACCAAAGTTGCATCTACTGAGTGTATATTAAGTCACTCACACTACCTTCTGGTTCCTCTTGTGTAGCTAGATGTTAGGACCATAACCCTCCCTCAGAGATATACCAGAGTATTCAAAGGGGCAATATATCTGAAAGCCTATGATACAGCATACTTCATAAATGTTTCTTAAATCCAGATCTGCCAATTCCAGATATTTACTCTTTCTCCTTTCTCTACCCTATTACTTTTCCACAAGAGCAGAGAATTGTAAAAATTATGCCTGCAACTTCTGCATTTAAAAATATGAAGAATCTATACTTTTTTTTAGTACTATGTATCAGACCCAGGGCCTTCACACTCAACAACATCTCCAGCATTTTTATATATATTTTTTAATTTTGAGGCAGGGTCTCACTAAATTGCAAAGTCACCAGTGTGGGTTCAACCTTGCAGTCCTCCTGCCTCAGCCTCCCAGAGTCCTGGGATTACAGGTGTGCACCGGCATACCCAGCTTGTACTCTTTATTTTTCAACTGAAAAATTATGACTAGAAGATTCTCCAGATCATTATCCACTGAACCATTCAAACACAAAACTCATGAAAAGGGCAGGTTTCCCTCTGGGAAAATATGGAAGACTCCAGAAGGAACAAAATTGTGTGTTCCTCTGAGACTCCCATTAATGGCTGTGGCTTCACTCTAAATTCTACTGCTACAATATTAGACTGCTCTACATTCTGAAGAATTATTCAAAGAACCTGGCTTGGAAAGTTTTCTAGAAGCTAAATTTCAGAGATACTATTTTTGTAAATTTCCTCTAAATGGCAACAGAAGATGAAATTCGAAAAAGTATAATTTAAGGTTTCATTTGCCTAACAAACACAGTAAAAAGATGATATCAAACATCTGCAATTTTCAATCACGTAGCTCAAAAATAAGCACAAAACAGTTTTAGTGAAGTGCATACTTTGGCATCCTTACCATCAAAGGCAGTTTTAAACACATGATCCAAAATGCCCATTGACAGCGGGTCTCTCTTGCTGCATATTAATCTGTCAGGATGAATCTGGAAACACCAATGTCTCTCAATTAGAAGCATACACTTTAAAAATCAGAAATAAAATCACAATGCCATGAACAGGGCACAGGTGGGTAACTGACAAGCCCACCTAATGTGAAAAAACCATAGGTTTAAAGAAAAGGCATAATAATAATATAAAGGTTTGCATTTGCATAGCCTGTACAGCCAAAGAGACCAAAGCCCCTATCTCATTATCTCATTAATCCCCTTCTACTTGCTGCAGCAGCCAGTGTAGGGCAGGCACTATGTCCGGTGACTGTGACCATCAACATGCCATGTGGTAGCCTATTGTGAGCCCTATTGCTTCCAGTCTCCTTTCTGTAATAACGTGTGAGATTAGTGTTCCTGTCGCAGCTGGAGATGGAACGCAGCATCAGTTCTTAAACCAATTTATCTCTTTCCCCAACTTGTCACACTACACAGATAACTATCTGAAGTATTTCCATCTACAGGTACATTATTAATGGGCTGTAACTGTGTCTCTGAAAGAGGGTTCAAAGACATCAAAAACATCTGTAACTACTAATTAGAGACTTGCTAGACTACAAGAGATTATTTCACCAAGCAGGTTAGCTGTGGGACTCATTTGCTGTTCAACACCCCAGACATTTCAGACATCTGATTTTTTCCATCACTCTCTTCCACTTCCTGTTAGAAAGATTATGTACATGCTGAAGTGAGTGTATGTGTGGAGCTATGAAAAGCAGAAAATAACAACAAACAATATTTTGCTATCATGCATACTAATTTTTCTGAAAATCAAATTTTCAAAATCTTATTTCATATCTTTATTCATTATATGCTAGAAAAAATAAGCCTCTGAAATTCTACTCATTCATGTTACATTAGTCAAACTTGTCACACTACAGCTTATTTTTTCTTTAGGGACAAAAAATACACTGGTTCCTATTTCTATGACCAAAAAAAGAAAAACTCTCTCAAGTTAATAATTTTACTGTATTGGGAGACTCTATTGGTTAAATGTTTCTTCAATAATGCTTCCTAGGATTATTATATTTGCCACCTTAAATTCTATTTGAAAAACAGATTCTAAACTACATGTGCACTGAAATTGTAAATTAATAACTTCCTAAATATAACTAGTTATGAAGAAACAAAACCAATTTTTTAATTGCCCAGAAAAGATGTATCTTCACTCTAGGGTGTATGGCTAAAGGAGAAGGGCCATATAAAAACTTTAAGGTTATTTTATGCATGGAGCTTCATGCTTCATTAGTACATATAGCATAAAAAGGAGTGATCCAATTTAAAAGAAAAATTTAAGTATTCTAGTAAAAGACAAATTGCCATTTAACCCCCCCTCAAAATACTCCCTTTCACTTTGAATTCACTTACCTCATCACTGTTTCCACTCTCTAAAGCGGTTCAGGAAGTCCTCTTTCATGAGAGTTCCTCAAAGATAACTCAAACCATCCACACATAATTTTGTCCACACATAACCTCAGATTGTAGGAAATAATGTTCAATGTTGAGTATTCTCATTAAAGATCTTTTATAACCATACTTCATTCCAAAAATTAACATTTTAAAATATTTGAAATATGCCTCCCAGGTAAACCAGGTTATAGTGAATTCACAAAAGGCCAATCCTACTGACCCTATTTTTCTCATGGTTGCCACAGATCACAAGCAATCTTCGGGACAGAAATTTCAAAGATTCGTTGAGTTGTTACTTCAGCCTAGAAAACTCCAATATCATGTTTATAAATTTTCTTCTAGCCATTTATTTCTGTTTAGCTACTTAAAAACTCAACAGAATTTTTTAACATTTATTTTATTATGCTCACAGATTTTGTGAGTCTCAGGAATTCAGATAAGTCATAACAGAGATGGTTTGGTTTTGCTCTATCATGTTTGTAGCCTCAGCTGAGAAGCGTCACATAGCTGGAGGTGGCTCAAGTAGATGTAGATGGAATCTCAGAGTCTATGTTGGGATGGTTTGACTGAGACTATCAACCACAATCTGTAGAGATTCCCCCCCCACCTCTCTCTCTCTCATATTATTCTATCCATAATCTAACATCATGTTAGTGGTCCCAGTCACTCTTATAGAATAAAATAAAATTGGAAAAATGCATTCAATTAAGTACAGAAAATAATAAATATCAGCTCTCCCCAAATATAACAAAAATGCATAGAAGGTCAATAACATTTCTCAAGATCAAATGAGGAATAGAGAAATTTCCATCTCTTAGAAGAGATGAAAATTTCTTTGCTGGAAATATGCATAATAAAACATGGGAAAGTTGTGTGTCATTCCAAGGTTGATAAAATACAGTATAAAGATTTAAAATACAAAGATAGGCATTAATTTAAAAAGCTGTGGAGCAACCAAGGAAAGATGGTAGAAGGAAGTAGGTATTGATCCCACCTTCCCAGTCCTAGGGTGAGCAGGATGTTAGGTAGCTCAGCAGATACATTGCTCCGGGGATCCTAGGGTGGGTGGTCACTGAGAATTATTCAGAGGGCTACCTGTACTGGGCCAAGGAGCTTATAAACTAGAGAGTTCTTATTTATCACAAACATAGCTATGAACTGCTTTTATTTGTGCATTTCAATTTCTAACAACAGGAAGAAATGCTGCCTTGAATTTGGGGTTATGGGGGTAAAAAGCATCACGAGAATTCCATATGATGATGAACTAAGAAATAGTATCTCTTAGTTGAGACAAACAAGGAAATCTAGTCTGGTATGGCAGAATATATTTTATGTAATTCTAAGCATATCAATTGAATATATGCATATACATTTAGCTTATACTCACATTCTGATTTCCATACTCAGTGCAGTGTAGTAAGCACAAACTTCAGTTTACAAAAAAACAGGAGCTTTCATTATTCTTTTATGAAAAGTCCTTTCATGGTGTGTACATGTGTGTGAACATATATGTAAGATAGGCAATAAGTTATTTAACAGTTTTGAGTGGATGTCTTAGAAAATGTACTTTTTAAACTATCTTATTAGTTGTTTAAAAAGAAAAAGACCACAACTTGGTGGTCAGTTATTGTTGATTAGGCTTCAGTCCAAGCCATTAGGGGCCATTATAGACACAGTGAGAATCTTTCAAGAGGCATTTATTCCATTAGAAATTTTCCTAATTAAAAAATAAAGAAACTTAGATAAAACTAGATTTAAAGTAAATTAGTTAACAATCTATAAACTACTTTCCACAGAAATTAATCCAACAAAATAGACTTTATCATTTTAAATGTTCTTCTAAAATTCGAACCCCATGGGATCAGAGTCTATGAAACCTGAATTCATTATGGAGTCACTGATTGAGTTTATTAGTGACAAACCCTAGTATTATTTTTTAAGAAAAAAAAAATCACACATTAGTTCCTCACCTTTGTTTCCCATGTACTCTTGGAAAAAACCTTGCCTGGAAGTGTCAACAATGAGTAAATTAAATGAATTAAGCACCAAGAATATATTACAGGGGACCTATGTTTGCCACAATTGTCCCTGTTCAAGCCAGGACATCTTGTTAAACAGTGAAAAGTACAGTGAAAAAGATGATAAATAATTGGGTTAAATGGACATAATCAACTAGATTACACCAAGTAAACAGTGTTTTAAAAATTAATACTTTTGAGGGGCTAAATACTAAAATAATATTTCCAAATCTCTTCCACATGGGCTTGGAAGAGCATAATTCCTAGTTAACAGTCCAGTCTTTCTCTTGGAAGAACCCAAGGAGGGAACAAGGCCATAAAACCCTACCTGATAGCTCACAGAGGAAGGCTATTATTAAATCTATGAAGCCTAAGAATGAACTGTTTTGGGTTTGGGGGGGGTGGGGGTTACCAATTTGGGAAGGGGAAGTTGGAAGCAAACTGTAGGTAATTGGGTGATAGTACTTGACTCCGTTCTCAGCTTATGATAACTTTTTTAATGTACAGATATTAGAACTTCCCCTTCACTTCACCAAACTGGACTTTCCTCATCTCACATCTGAAGGTGAATGAGTTGGGAATGAGTTAGGAAGATGAGTTGGTAGCAAATAGCGAAGATCCTCTGAGGCATTTGGTCCACAACTCCTCCAACTCAACTTCTCACCACAAATCCCTAATGACTTCCAACTCACTTGTGGCCCCAAGGTAAACACTTTTTTACTTTAAACTTCCAATGCTTCCAGTACTTTCACTACTCCAAGTTGCTCTAAGATTATCAGTTCTGTCATATCTTCTCTTCCCTTGCTAGTCAGTCTTGATCTCAAAGTTACAGATCTAAACTACCCTCTCACCAGCACCCTCAGTTCTCTCTTGTACGAATAGCTCCCCAGAAAATGGCCAGAAGAAATCCAATGCCAGCACAGTGTTTAACTGCAGTGTTGGCCTCCAACTCCAACCTAGATACTAACAGTGTAGAAGATAGTTTCAATACCGTGTCAAATGGCACCTTGAAAATTGCCATTCTCCAACTTCAGCAGGAACATGAGAGTCATCAACCAGTCCTTTCACACAGCTTCCTTTTCACTCTCAGTTACCATTACAGGCCTGATCAGTTCTCAAATTCCCTACCCCAGTGTCAGCAAACAATATGCCATAAGGCAATGGTGGAGTGAGGAGCTCAGCAAAGAAGCACTAATAGATTTATCAAAAACAAAGATTTTAGGATCCTGAAAATAGAACGAAAACATAAAACAAATTGAGAAATACTGACACGGGAAAAGCTATGAGTCTTAGGTGAGAACTTCTCTGTGGCATTTTAGCATGGGATTGTTCAAATTATTCCCCTTCTCATCATTTACCCCTTCATTCGGCTCTCCAGTTGTGCCCAGCCATGTATTTGGATATGGTAAGCCATGAAAACCAGCAGCTTCTCAACAGGAAATGAACGACTAACCTGAGGTTCAGCAGAGCACAGAAAAATTCCCACAGTCCTAGACATTACAGGAAATAGTAATCATTTCAGCACCATAGAAGGAATGTTAGTTACTGTGATCCTAGTTGAGTCAAACCACTGATAAACTAGGAATAAATATAAGAGGAAGATCTGAGAAATAAGGCAGCCAGAGGCCTTGAGCTTTTCCCACAGGCCTGGGGGTCTGGAAGGCAGTGAGCTTGTCCAGAGCTGTGCACATGTTCAGGAAAGACTTCAGAAAGCAGCTACCTACGAGTCACTGGAAGAATATGAGACCTTGGGCAAGCAGAGAGTAAAAGCCAGAAACAACTAGTAAACTTTCAGAAACGTGAAGTGGTTCCCCAATTCACACATAGAACCATGAACAAGGGAAAAATCCTTATCTGCTTCTTGTAAGTGAGCACAACCTTGACTGAGTACTTTTTAAAGTAAATGTTTGCAGTACATACAGTTTACTGTCAACTTGGGGAGTGAGTATATGTACATAACACAGCTTAATTCTTTTGATCCCCTTTCTCTTTCTTCCCGTCTCCCTCCCTCCTTTAAATCCCTTTTCCACATTTTCATGCTTGTTGATATTATTAATCTTATCCCATGTTTATGACACATAATGTTTATGTTCATTTAGGTTATTAGATTCCTGTATATATTCTACTTATTTTCCCTTTCCCTCCCCCTCTCCTCCCACCCACCTTCTCTTGGACCAAAACTTGACTGATTATTGAGACATTACCAAGAAATTCTAGAATGAGGTCAGGCTTAAAAATAAAAGCAGCAATGAAAAAGAAGAAATATGAGCAGAATCAACAGAGGTCACACATTGTCAAGGACGAGAGACTCCATAAAAATTAGTCCAAATAAGTCACTAACCAGTAAACAAACAGAAAAAGGAAGAATTAAACTGAGGTCTTCTATAATATATTGTCTAAAATGACCAAGTTTCAGAAACAAGAAAAAAGCAATCAAGTGAAACTGTCTCCTTAGATATTGGATTTAGCAAAGTTGTCAAACCAGCTATTATACATAAGTTCAAAGGACGTCATATTTATATATTAAAGGAAAACATGATAACAGTAACTTACCAAATAGAGAATATCAATAAAAGGATTTCAAAAGGAAGGAGGGAAGGAGAAAGGGAGGAAGGAAGGAATCCTGGAGTTAAAAAGTATAAAAACTGGAACTTCAGTTTTCACTCCAGCAAATAAAAAACCTGGAAGTCATCATTTCCATCCTCATAAACAGAAGAAAACTGAAATGATAAAAATCAACATCATCAGAGAATTGATGTTCCAGAGAAGACTGCTGCCCCAAACTCTGAAGAGACAGAAGAACGTGGAGAATCATAGCTTACCAAGACCAGAAGCCACTGGATTCAGGAACTGGTGGGAACATTGGAAACTATAATCGACTGCTGGATTCAGAATGTAGACTTGTGTGAGAGTTAAAACTCCTGGGAAAAGCCACTAGTTTCTCACCATAAAGATGTTTACATGCTCTAGGAAGGGGAAGGAGAATAGTAACCACTGTGAGACATACTCAGATGGTTCTGTTTTCTGAAACAAAGCCTACTCCCA